CTATCTATACTAGTTATTATGCCACAAACTATTAGGAAACCGAAAAATTATTGCTTTAAACGTAGTATGGAAGACGCAGGGAAGTTAAGAAAGCTCCCCACCTCTACCCCGCTGGGCGTACGCCCATTTCGGCATAAGGACACTTCGCCATAGGACACTTCGGCATAAGACACTTCGCCATGCGTTCATTTCTGTGGTATACGCCATGGCAACGGATTGTTGTTGTTGCTCGGTTGTGACTGTAAGATCAGTCAGTCATGCAGCGCGCTAGCGAGAAGTGGTACTGAAGACTTTACAGTGGCGTGACGATTCGAGTGATTTGTTGTATTTCTAAGAACTCAGAATGCCCGATACGACCACATCCACAGCATCAGCGGCTGCTGCCCTCCCTTTCCAGAACGTCCAACATGGGATTACGAAGTTTGACCCTGATATCATGGACCGGACAAGCTGGAAGGTCAGATACAAGAACTACATTAAGCTTATGGATCTCCCCAGCGCAATACAGCACGAGTTGCTCATAGACTCGCTGGAGAAAAAGGCTTTTCAGACCGTGATCTTTGTGTCGCCCGCAAGAGCCGCAAGAACTGACGCAGGACGAACTCCTGGCAAAGCTCGACTTGGCATACGCCCGTTATACATATAAAATAACGGAGCGGGCAGACTTCTGGGAGTCCCGCCAGAAACGGGCCAGTCGCTAATGGAATTGGCGAACGCCTTGCGCGACCGCACAATCACGTGCAACTTCCCGGCAACCATCCTGGACGACCTACTTAGTTTCATGTTTGTGGCGGGGGTAGAAAGTGACACTACCCGCCGTCACCTGATTTCTCAGGAACTGGACTCGTTTGACAAGACGCTAAACACGGCATGGAAGTTTGAGACGGGCCAACAGGAGGCAAAGCGCAATAATAACCAGGCGCACGAGTACGTTAAGCAGACCAACACCTCCAGACCACTCCAGCAAGGCAGAAAACCGTTCCGGAAGGAGGACCGCCGACCGGAGAACAGTAAACCGGCGGCACGGAATGGGGAATGTGCAGGTTGTGGTGGAGGCCACGTTCGCGCAGAGTGCCCACATCTGAGCACTGTTTGTCGGAAGTGCGGCAAGAAAGGTCACCTGGCAAAGGTTTGCCGCTGGGCCGGGGATACCAAGCCAGCCAACCCGCAGCGACGCACCAACTACGTGGAGGAATCCTACGACGTACTGCACACGTCTACAGAACAGAACTCGGAGTCGTTTTTGGTGCCGCTATCGATCGACGGACACAGCGCCACGTTGGAATTCGACACTTGTTCACCAGTGACCATTGTCAGCGCGGAGACATGGGCCGCCGTCGGATCGCCACCGTTGGACGCCACGCCCATAACCGTGCGCACTCAGTGCGCAGCTTCACTCGGCACAGCATTCCGTTGCGGGGATCGACGCTGGTGGAAGTGCGGTGCGCGGACGGACCCGCGAGAAGATTGCGTGCACTGGTTTTCGACCGCGGCTGCAGCATTTTGGGCAGGGACTGAATCCACAACCTCGGCATGCAACAGATGTCTCAGGAAACACTCCGAATGCTGCAGGTCAACGCTGTCACCGTGCCGGCGGCATCACCGGAAGTGGCGGCTATACTAGAGCGACACGCGAATGTATTTCGCAACGAACCCGGTTGCTGCAAGGACTTTGAGGCGCACTTGTACCTAAACCGGAAGCTCGACCGCGTTTCTGCAAAGCCCGGACAGTCTCGTTTGCCCTGCGTGAGGCCGTCGAGAAGGAGCTGGAGCGGCTATATTACTGGGCGTCATCAGTCCGGTCGACCACGCCGTATGGACAGCTCCTATCGTGTCCGTGTTGAAGAAGGTCACCGGCGATGTGCGTACTTGCGCTGACCTGAGCACAGGTCTCAATGACGCATTAGACCTTCATCGTAATCCGCTGCCCATCCAGACGAGCTCTTCACTGCAATGAACGGCGGCACGCGTTTCTCGAAGATCGATCTCAAGGATGCGCACATGGAGATTCCACTTGATGAAAAGAGCCGTCGCCTTGTGGTAATCAATACGCACAAGGGACTCTTCCAGTACAATCGCCTGCCTTTCGGGGTCGCGTCAGCGCCGTCCATCTTTCAACAGAAGATGGAAATAGTCCTTCAAGGTTGCTCCGGTTGCGCGATCTTTCTCGACGACATAATTGTGAAGGGGAAAAACGAAACGGAACACAATCGCAACCTGGACGGCGTACTAGCACGGCTGGATGCGAACGGGTTACTGTCAAAATGTCAAAGTGTCAGTTCAATGTCGAGTCCGTCGAATACCTGGGCTTCATTATTGACAAGGACGGCCTTCATATCGCGTCCTGCAAAACGGAAGCCGTCATCAAGACGCCCGCTCTACAGAACATCGGGCAGATCCGCTCGATTCTGGGGATGATGAACCACTACGCACGGTTCATACCAAATCTGTCGGACCGATGCGGTATCTTCTACGATCTGCTGAAGAAGGAACGCGAGTGGAATTGGGACGCACAGTGCCAGCATTGGTTTGAAGAGCTGAAGGAAGCGCTGTAAAACGCCACGCACCTGACGCATTTCGATCCCAGTCTTCCGCTCATCCTTGCCGCAGATGCTTCGCCGACCGGAGCTGGCGCGGTCCTGACACACCGAGCGGTCGATCGCGCATGTGTCCCAGACGCTGACATCTGCCGAACAAAACTACAGGCAAATCGAGTAGGAGGCCCTGGCCTCGTGTACGGCGTCAGCAAGTTCCAGCAATACCTGGACGGGCGGGAATTCACGCTCCTAACCGATCAAAACCACTTGTGACCATATTCGGCAGCAGGCGTTCCATTCCAGCGGTTCCATTCCAGCGGCGTTCCATTCCAGCGGTAACCGCCACCCGACTTCAGCGATACTCATAGGATACCAGTTCACCATTGAGTACCGGAAAACCGAAGAGTTTAGCCAAGCGGACGGCCTGAGCAGGCTGCCACTGCATTCTGCCGACCTGTTCGACACGAAGGTGCTGGCGGCACGATGTACGCATGCAAATGAAGACGCTCTACCGTTTACCAGTCACCGCGGAGTCAGCTACGCCCAAGGACATGGTGCTGGCGGAAGTGGCAAGGTTTGTGCAGATCGGATGGTCCAACCGGGTGGACGAGCAGCATATTCCATACCACAGGCGCAGGTTTGAGATGAGCGTCGTGAACGGCTGCATCCTGGTTGGATTAAGCACGTCATCCCACCGCCGCTGCGCAGCCAGCTACTGCAGTACCTGCATGAGACGCATGCAGGAATCGTGCGGATGAAGGCGGAAGCACGGGGACACATGCAGTGGCCAAACATTGACAGCGAAATCGAAGAGCTGGCTTCGAACTACCGAATGTGCTCGATGAGCGCGAAGAACACCGCCAGAGTACCATTACAGCAGTGGACGGCCAGCGAACATCCGTGGAAACGCCTCCACATCGACTTCGCTGGCTCAGTGAGAGGGAAAATGTACTTCCTAGTGTGGACGCACATTCAAAGTGGTTTGACGTGATCCACATGCGCGGCACCACGGTGAAGCAGGTCGTCGATGCGCTGTCGAACCTGTTCTGTCGATACGGACTGTGTAAAGACATTGTAACCGACAACGGGCCACAGTTTACCGCCGAAAAATTCGCGCAGTTCTACCAGACAAACGGCATACGCCACATCACTACCGCACCATATCATCCGCAGTTAAACAGACAAGCGGAAAGATACGTGGACACTTTCAAACGCGCCCTGAAGAAAGCGGCCGACAGCGGTGGTGACGAGCGGAATGCGATTCGGTTATTCCTTTACCGATATCGCATAACTCCACATGCGACCCGTGGCATCGCTCCTGGAGAACTTTTCCTTAAAAGGGAGATGCGCACCGTGCTGGACCTGCTAAATCCATCGTATTCCACTAAAACAGAACGGTCACGGCAGACACAAAAGCAGAATTTTGACCGTCATGCTACGGAAAAGGCATTCCACCCTGACCAACTTGTTTTGGTGAAAGATTTCCGTCGCAATGCGCAGACGTAATGCGTACCCGGACAGCTCTGGCGTCGAAAAGGTCACACTGACTGGGAAGTGCAAGTGAGAGAGAAAATTTGGCATCGCCATGCGAATCAGCTGAGAAAGCGCGGCTGGAAAGAGGATGAGTTGGAGGAGGTCACGCCCACAGTGCAAAATCCAGATAACGCGCGTCAATGCAGTCTTGCAGAACCACAGCAGGAGCTGCCACGCACGAATGCACGTAGCCAGTCAGTGGATGGTTGTTTCTCCCAGACGAGAAATGAAACTCGAAGCAGCGAAAGCCAAACCACCGAAATGCCAGCGGAAATTCAACCCATTAAAAGTTCTGCTAGATCTAATTTTGGTGTGGCACCAAATCGTTATGGTTGGTTTTCTGATGGAAAGTACTGTATAAGTTAATTCGTTTACTCATTAACTGGGGGACGACTGTGGTATACGCCATGGCAACGTATTGTTGTTGTTGTTTGGTTGTAACTTTACAGACTCTAAGATCAGTCAGTCATGCAGCGCGCTAGGGAGAAGTGGTATTAAACTTTACAATTTCGGCATAAGGACATTTCGGCGCACGGCCATTTCGGCATAAATCAAAATTCAAAAGACTTGAGGAATCAAAAAAGTTTAAGCAATCTAAGAAATCTAATAAACTAACGCAATCTAGGAACGTTAAAAGCCTAAAGGAAAACATGAGAAAAACACGAGAGAAATACATGAGAAAACATATAAAAACATACGAATGCATAAGAAAACATACAAAAGCGTAAGAAAACAGGAAAGCATAAGAAAACATACAGCAGCACAAGAAAACAAAAGCATACATTCTATGCCGAAATGTCCCTATGCCAAAATGGTCGGACACGCCCCTCTGGTCTCAAAAATGGCCAGTTTTATGTGCAGACTTGAAGTTGGATTTCAGCTAATTTCAACAAACCAACACAGTTCTCACCGTTCGACAGTGTAACTTACAGCTTTCTTTTTGGGATGGGCTGCAACATCCACAGAGCTGAATGACTGTCCATAGCTTAAAGATATGCATGATCGTCATTGCGATAAAAATAATAATGCTGTTAACAAATAACAGTCCAGAAAATCGGAACCGATTTAAAGAAGATTGCTATCTGGTATATATTTACGGAATTAATATTCTAGAAAGAATAGCCCCGATAACTAGTGAAACGTGGTATTTTCCACAAATGTTTCGATGTTTTGCTCAAATGTTTTCCACATTTTTTCCACGGGAGGTCATGTTTCCCACAAATGTTCTGAGCAGTAATTATTGTTATGCGTTGCCTAGACACTAAATTCACCATTAATTTTAACAGTTCCTGCAAAGTTTCCATTGTTGTACGTACGCTGCTCTGATCATAATCTGCCTTCTGATTGGTACTAGACTGTGGAAAAGACAGACTGAGATTTAGTCGGAAATCCATAGAGCCACCCGTTTTCAAACTCTTTTTTATAGCCACCCCTTTTAGCACCCTGGTTTTTGTAGCTACCCTTTTTTACTATTAATTAAATAGCAATACCCCGTTGTTGTTTTTTATAGACACCCCTTCTTAATGTGCTATTTTTAATTTATCTGATGGCACCAAACCACGCCAGATCATGGATTGGCTTTCGCCCAGTCCTCTTAACACAACGCACCATATCTTCCTTTTCCAGCGCTTCCGCAAGCCATTTGCGGCTTTTGCAATTACGGTTTCATCCACGGCGATGCCTGCAATCATTTTAGTTTAGGCGGCAGCTTCGCCGCTCTTGACCGCTTCCATTACTTATGTGTTTATATGGATAATATGGTGACTGGTGGTCTTATTTATACCGTTTGCTAACAATAAACAGGTACTCCATAAGGCTGTCTAAATACAAAAGCGATGCAAGCACCGGCTGCGGAGCATAGACGTTTTTCTATTTCTGTTCACAGTCAGCTTACAAGTCAACAATAATTTCAGACTACTTGAGCGCTGCAGAGCTGCAATAAAATTTATTTCTGCTCTACTGCAGTCAAAGAAAGCACTTCACTTAACTGATGTCGATACTTCGATGCCAACCATAATATTCAAAAAACTTTCCGCAACCTTTTTTATTTTGTTTTTCAATTTTCAGAATATTTTCGGCATTGAGGAAACATCCATTCAAGGTGCGCGTCCAGTACTGTAGTAATTATTATGACAATGTCTTACGTACGGCAAAATTATGGTGGAGTGGCGATATGCGATTTCTTTATTACGGATCCGACGACCCTCTCCACCTGTCTGACCATGCACACCGTAGCGGCCAGCAGCAGCGTCATTGAGCTGTTGTTTCTCATCTGCCTCCTGATCTTCAGTCATGGCTCCCTGTCCCTGTCACGCTACATGCTGGACCTCATAAAGAAAGACCACGCGCCGGATGCCGGGCAGGAGGGGATCCTGGCGGCCTTTTATCTCAGTATCTCCGTCTCCCTGGGGATCACCGGGCTCCTGCTCATCGCCAGTGCCGTGCTGGGCTTTTGTTTATTGCAGAATAAATCCAGCAGCAAAACATCACGCAGTGATATCCACACTGATGCCTGGCTGCTGGCGGCGGCGGTACGGTAGGAGACTCCGTATTTCTCGGTGGATCCGCCCACGCGAGTTTGTCTCAAAACGGAGGAGGCCTCGCTCGTTCCCATGGTATAGACGCGTGGGAACCGGGCTGCGCCAGTTCTTCGGATTGTTTTCTTTTTTTGTTTCTGTCGTCTGTGATACACGCACAAGTGTAACTGGTGTTGTAATCAGCTCTACAGATACATATTAACGCTGTTAAATACAGATACCATGTTGTACTCTGCAGACACATGTTGTACGGCTCTACAGATACATGGTGTTGTAATCAGCTCTGTACATACTTCTATATATGCTTCGTTGCGTTGTTATTAATTACTTATTATTATGCTTTCTTCGATCGGCTTCTTCGTTTGCTGTGATTTACGTAGGCAATCTCGGTATAATAATATGGTTAAATCGCAAGCCATCGTTGATGAAAAGTGCTGCAAGTCTGTAGAGCGCTTTATTATGGGAACGGGAAGTGAAAGGTCAAGTTGGTGTATCTTGCGTCAATTACATCCTAATTTTTTTCTGGCTGCAGATAGCGGCATTAAATCGTCAAAATTGTAGTGGAATATTGATTTAATAGTAGGCTACAAACGGCAAGATTGGTTAACATCTATGACACAAAAGCGGAAGAAAAATAGTCCCTCACAAAGAACAATATAATGTTATTTGATAAAAATTACTGTATTCTAGTATTTATGTAAATGTATAAGAAATAATTATTAAGAAATCAAATACGATAATCTATATGATACGATAATCAGGTACCTCAGGTTTCTTAGTTTTCCAAGGTTTCTTAGGTTTCTTAGGTTTTCTCGGATTCATTATATTTATGTGCTTTTCTTGGCGGAATTAACCGGTGCGGTGTTAATTGCGGCGAAACAAACTTTCACCGCAAAAGTTGGGTACGGATATAGACCCCGATAACTATTTGCTAAAACAGAATTCGGTAAAAAATTATGCACGAATGTAGATTTCCGTATGCTGTAAGCCGACGTCGACCAACCGGTTACGGATCTGTAGTCCTCCGTCAACTGGTCTATACCTATTACCTATTCATGATCAGTCACTTATGAGTTTTGTGGTTTAACTGTTATACAGCAAGGCTGTCCGTAGTTCGCTGGCATCTTACTTGTTAATAAACATGTACTTTTTCGACGTGCAGAGTTTACTGGTAATTTTAAATTAGTTATCTGTTGGAACGTTATTAAGTGAAAAAATAACAGAAAAGCAGTAAAAAAGAGAGAATCTTTTAATTCGCACTTACTATTAGTAATGGTGTACATGCAGTAATATGCCTTTTGAAAAACCAGTTTTGAATTTCCGAGTGCACCTACACGTACATATACTGGCACTGTAACGAGAAGTGTTAATAAAGCGCGTTTCATGCTTCAGAGTACTCTGAAACTGAAGGGATATTTTAAGTACATACAGCTTTTACACACACAGTTTTTATAGGAAAATTTGACAGATTACAAGCTATAAACAATAAATGCAACTCCATTTTTCACAAAAAAAAAAACTTAAAATTAAACAAATCAGTCAAACTTTACATCAAGTAAACCAGTTTTTTTTAGCAGCGGCAGGTCCATCTTTGCTTTTGAAGCGTTTTTCAGGCTTTTTATTTATTTTTATATTATGACGAGATCGTCGCCCGGAAAAGCGTTCGACTGGATGAAATTGATATATCTGGATACGTCGGTGTATCCCCCTCCCGCTCCATCGCCGCATCCAAACCCAAAACTGACCACTCCACCCAAATACTGCCGATTGGTGGCCGCATCCGGGCAGAAGAACGGCCCACCGCTGTCACCCTGACAGGAATCCTGCCCGACCACGCCTCCAGCACAGATCACCGTATCACTGGCCTGTAGACTGCTGCATTTGCTGTCCGTTAGCGACAAAACCACCTGTGAGGCGTACTTCAGCGCGTGGACAGGGTTAACATTGGGCGGAGCGGCCACTGCAACAGGTGATTTTTGGTTAATTATTAAAACGAAGCAGTTGATTTTATTTTGGTATGTTAAATTACCAGTGCCGATTAGATGATTGAAAAGACCAAGCATATTAACAGAAGCTTAATACTTGGTAATGATTACTGTACTAAATGAGCAGTGCGCACATACTGCACGTGTATAAGAAAAGAAAGGTTTGTGCGATTTTGGTGTCATAAGGGGATAGAACATTCTCCTCGAACCGTCTCCCTGTTCTGCTGCCGTCACCCGGCTGGATTTTTACGTTGTGGCTAAACATTGAGCTTATGCACCGCGTCTGATTTAGCCCTATGTACTGCCATAACGTCAGACTAAAGGCGGGCGCGGGTGACAGCAGCAGAACAGGGAAACGGTCCGAATAAAACGGTTTGCCCCTCTATATACCGAATCACTTCCCTTAACTGTGGCAGTAATACCGAACTGGCAACTGCTATTCTAAAGCCAGTATCTGGTCGCCTTTCGTGATTCGGCGCCTGGTAGACTTACTGCCAGTGGCATACTGCTCTTCCGCGCCCCACCCGGATGTCATGCATCTGGCTCCCATGGTGGGCGGTGTGCGTTTCAAGCAGATTTTACAGGCACAGGCCCCTTCCGCCGTGAAGTCGATGGCTTCATTCAAAATCACAATGGCAATGTCGTTGACTAAACTCGGGGGAACGTACTGGGGATGTCGGATGATTTGCTGCACACCGTAACTACGAAAGCAATTTGGCACTCTCGACGGAAACAGTGTGTCGAGGGTGGGTTGGTTATTCCACGACGTGCTGATGAGACCCACGGTGACATTAAAGGTGATCTTGAGAGTGTCGTCGATACAGTGGGCGGCGGTAACGATGGTGCGACTACCGACAATGCTCCCGCCGCATACAATGGCGTTATTCGGGCTCCAAAATCCAACCTATAAAAGCGACAGAAATATTACTTACTATAAGTTTGCTGCATGCACACAAAACGACAGTCTGCTACAGAGCTCAAAGAGTTAGGCAGATGGAGCGGTACCAATACATAGTACGAAACTTGCAAATATTCACCGAAATTTTGTCTTAACTACGGCGCAATTACTTCTGGTATCGTGCTATGTCATTCCACAGTAAAATCATTTATGTATTGTACACTGACTGGTGTGAAAACCGCTTGTGAGCGCAACGTCTTACGACTCCTGAGATACGGCGAATTAAATTGGACAAAAGTTGGAACGCAATGTCGTGTGTCGAAGGTCAAGCTGCTCTTCTTAAAATGCGTACTTGGCTGTAAAACGATTTTAACTGAAATCAAGCTACCAACTTGAAAACGCTTACCTGCCAGCATTCAGTGCCGGTACCTCCTGGCACGACTTGTCCACCGACAATCTTTGGGACGGTCACGAATCTGGACGGCTGACCATTCTTGAAGAACACCCGCCGGATTTCCACATCTTCCTCATCGCGACTGCGCTGCTGATTAATGAAGAAATTGGCATCCCCGTTGGGTATGCCGCATCGCGCCGGTGCCGACGCTGTAGTGGTTGTCGTTGTCGGAGGCTGTGTGGGGCCGGGAGTGGGTGCCGGCGTGGCTGGTGTCGGAGGTGGGGCGGTTGCGGGGGCCGGAGTGATGGGCCGGGCGGTGGTTACTGGACTCGGCGGGGCCGGAGCTGGAGTCGGTTGAACTGGAGCGCCAGTTGTCGCCGCGTTAATAGGATATGGCGGATATGTTGAGGGAATGTAGGTGTTGTATGATGAACTATACGAGGAACCTGCAAGTTTATCGGTTAGCTCAGGAAGATTTCAATATACTTGAGGAAGCTTTACTAGTGGAAAGGTCGCACAAACGTGGGAGATAATACTGAAGTGATTAGTTCTGGTCAAATTTAATGTCCACGAAATCTGTTCTTGTTTCGCAGCTAGACTGCAAAGGTTAACAAACTGTCGTCCCTAGACTTAAGCTTACATTCTGCTATGAAAATTAAACTCAAATTTTAAATGACTTTTCCAACAATTTTTGCCAGAAATTTTAAAAATTAATTTTGACTAACTTGGTGAGGATGCATACGACTGGCCCAAACTTCCCACTGAAAATGCCTGGCTGAAGGGATATTGGTACGCAAACCATAGTCCTTGTTGAGCATATAAACCACTACTGCAAATACAAAGTACCGCTAGCCATATCCGTACTTGTAGTACACTGGCGGTAGACATGGTAAAACCAACTGGAGATTATTTTGTACAGCGTGCGCAGTTGTGCTTTTGACAGGGAAAACAATTATTTATATTCCAGCTTTTCAAGGGCAGTAAAATGCATGGCGTTTTTGTGACACTGTATCGGTTAAACCGCATCGGACAGAAAGGTGCGTGCGTTACCAAAGAACGCCATTGTCGGAAAGCATTGCAGACTTGTGTGAACGTTAATTATATTTTATTTCATATTATGACTGAATGCTAATTTCGATGTTTGCATGCTGTTGACTAATTCTGCGGTCCTCACTGAAGGCTTTCGTCTGAACAAAAATTATAAAGTGCTGCATGGGTTTTTCATAACAAAGAACCTGCGAATATTTTAAGCGTGCGACCGTGAACATATACGGCATGTGGTACCCCTGAATCCATGATGACCGGTCTGTTGCACTTGACGCAGTATTAACAGGTTCGCCGTCAATAATGAAAATTCCTACTCAGTACTGTCTGGCATTACGTTTGTTCTCAAACACCGATGACCATGCAAAATTGCCCCGAAGCTAACAAACATTAACTAGCATTTGTAAATCTGTTGCAAAAGTTAATTACAGATTTTTGAACTTTCAACTTTACGGAATTTTACACAGAGATATTTCCACTATTACGGTTGCTGCATAATTACCGCACCGCACACGTGGCACATGCCGGCAGTTGCACGAATATATCAAGAGTGGACAACAAATAGAAATAATGAAAGTTAATCCTATTGGTCTAGGTATAGCAGACTATAGCTGCAATCTGGCTATCTGTGCATGCATGTGATAAAAATCCGTCGAATCCTTAGTCGAAAAGCGCTTTTTAATTTCCTTGAAAATTTCTTATAGAACGTTCCAAAGTTTTTCTGAAATACTGCTTTTTTAAAATTTTAGTAATGAATAATTGCTTTTTTTTATTTTTTTGTTACAAAAATTACTAACGGGTACGTACATCACGTCACGCGTACGTCATTTCACGGTGTACACTGCGCTAAAACAGAACGGCTTTCATGCATTAAACCAAGTGGAGAAAATGTTACTTAATCAGATTGAAAAGGTTTATTATACTCCTGAGTCTGCTGACGCTCTAAACTGTATACATCTAAACTTGTCAACATGAACCCGATTACACAATAATTACGTACAGGTAATGCCCAATTAGCTTTGTTTCTGCACAAAGCCGGCGGAACTCCGCACCGCGACAAATCGGGACTGAAAATACGGTAGTCAAGCATCTAGGGCCTAAAATGAACACGCTGGTGTGTGCAGAATGACGCTCGATCGCGCTCATCGCTACTGTAGACATCTACCGGTGAAAATGCACGATCACGTACCTACACAGCAATCTGTATCGATCGGTCAAGGATGCCGCCCGCACAGCACCGGCTATATTTGTTCTAGGCACCTGTCAATGCGTTACACAACACAGCGCCCGTATTCCTGTTTGATGTTTCCTGCTGATTGTCACGGCGGGATCAGCGCAGCGATATTGACGCGAAAAACTATTCTCAGCCTGTTCGTCAGTACAATATCAGGCACTGTACTATTTCCGTAACTAAACTCCTGAAACAGTCACCGGTAACATCGCATCTTGTACCATCTTCTAAAGTTTTCCTTCTAAAACATTCCGAGTTTCTCGTTATTGTACTGCAGCCGTTTTTCTTGGGGATTGCACCATGGCTGCAGCAGCGCACATCGCGCATATCAAGGTCCGTTCGCAGAATTCCTTCCATCTGGACGTCACCCGGGAGATGGCCAGTCTGGAAGGTCACCTCTTCGCCCTACCCATCCTTTTTATTAATCTCGGCGGCGAGATGATCTACGTCATCGAGCACCGTCTACGCGCCCAGAAGCTGGATGATAAGCTAGAGAAAGTGATGCATGATGTCATCGGGACGATCTTTCGACCGCGCATCATCGATGAGCTGTTCAAACCGCAGCACTTACTATCGGAAGCCTCCATGCGGTCGCTCTTTCAGAAGCTAGCGCACGCTTCCATTATGAGTCTAAACCAGGAGAGTATGGATAAACTCTTGGATCTGATGTCGATGGCGGTAAAGTACCAGATCTTTGCCTGCTCCTATCCGACGGAATTAATCTACTGTACACTGAACCATTTGGATTATATGCGCGAAATGGTGAAAACCATCGACTCCATGTCAAATTCTCTACGAAAAGTGTACAGCTACATCGATAAGACGTACTGCCGCATGGACACGCAGAACCTGGTCTTATTGCGCAACACCATTCTGCGGTACTTCCAAGACCGGAAGACCCGCCTCTCGGTATTCCTCAGCAACGGGATTCAGCGGGAGATCGACGGGGTCCTGAAAGTCCCTCGGGAATTCCAAATCTCCCCCACCAGCCACGTCCATCTCCCGGGGACGGTGACCTACTTCAAGACCGTCAAGGGCGTCATGTCTACCGAGACGTCGGAGAACCGCACCGAGCATTTTCATCCGGGCGGGCACTTCACCATGGCACCGCCCATCACCCAGACGACCATCTTCGACACGCCGTTGGGCCACCGCGGTACCACGCTGGGGATGAATATCTTCGCGGCGTACAAAGGCATCAACGTGACCGCGCCCGCAGCAGCCCTGCCAGCGGCCGCTCGCCGCCTGTCCGCGCAACAGCCGCCGTCGGCTGCCGCGGCGGAGATAGCGGCGACCCGGGAGGCCACCGGGGCGGCGGAGGTGGACATGCTGGCGCGGATACTGGGCGGGATCACGGATATTGATGAGAAGCGGGTGATGAATTTTGAGCTGGATTTCTTGGAGGAGGATGCCGACGGGGTGGCGGGTGGTCTGCCGGCCGAGTACAATCTGCCGCCGTTGACGCTGCCGGTAAAGCGCATAGCTGTGGCGGAAATGAAGAAAGTTGAACTGAGTAAGAATAAAATGGCGGATATTGATATCGGTGTGGCTGCGCCGGTGGGGAAGGATGATGCGGAACAGAAGCCGGATGAAATGGATATTTTAGCGCTCATGGATAACGCCGCCGGCAAATAAAGAATAGATAGGGTATATCAAAGTATTGTACATACAGATAACTACGGCAAAATGCAGCTATGTTTTAATTCGGCAAAAATGTACAGCAGTGATTTCTTATTTGTAAGTTAAGTAGCATCCAAAATTATTCTACAGAGTGATCTTCGCAAAAACTAAAAAGCTTGCACGTATATCTGTAGTGCAGCTCATTCTCCTGCCTTTTTTCTTTTAATTTTATTATTTTATTGTAAAAATGCTTCTATGTACAGTACAGCTAAAGATTTAAAGAACAATATTGATTATTGTACTATTGTACCGAACTAGATCAATTTTATGTACTGTATGTACGTAATACAGCAGGCTGGTAAGTGGTAACCAATACTTCAAACGCTGCACTACTTGGTTTACGCCCACAAAGAAGCCCAATATTGAGAAAAATGAGAGGTTATCATAGATAAGAGATGCCAAAATTACGGACAATAATCTATTCAAAAACTGCATTGACGAACAATGTCTGTAAATAGAAGAAGTAAAAAAAAAGATGAATTAAAAAACCGAAAGAATATTCAACAAAACGGGACGCGTAGTGAAAAACTGATATCGTAAAGAAATGAAAGTACATGAGAAATAGTACTAACTGTAGGCATACATAATCGTAAGCGTTGAATTGTCGACATTAACCCGAAATAATCGTATCAACACTACCAACACTATCTGAATCAGCACTGTATTTCGGTATGGTGAAAATTTCGCGGAACTTCTTATGAGCCGGATCGTCGCATTGGTCCAGTTTCTCCTCGCATTTGTAAGCGGTGAAGATGGCTTCGAACAGCTGTGAGTTGATCATCGCACCTTCAATACTGCATTCGGCCTGTCCGTCGAATCCCATACAGTCGCGGAACATGTCCAAACCGCTATAAATATAAAAACGCTCACGTAGATGTAGAAATCAAAGAAGTACAACAAAGTTATGAGAAATTTACTTTATGAAGAAAAAACTTCTTACCTAAGTAGTTGTACGAAAAAAATTTTACTTTATTTAAGAGAAAACTTCTTATCTTATTTTTCGTATTTTACTTGTCGTAAATTACGAAAAATTACGAGAAAAAATTACTCATCATTAATTATAAGTACTACGAGAAATTCATTTCTAAGTTACGAGAGATTAGTTTATCATAATTTACAGAAATCAGCTATTAATTTTGACTACTCCTGTAGCCTACACTTCGATTTGTTCGAGCATAACAAGGCATAAACAAGCTTATTCTTGAATATAAGCTTCACAGTGCAAATTCTGTACAACAAACATTACGCAGTGTAAAATGCTTGCTTGTCTATCTTCATGGGAACATAGGGAACGCTTTTACTTTTACTTGTATACCAGCGAGTAGGACTGTAGGACCATCGGGCATTTACCCCAAATCTTCCGCACTTGGTCACGTTTAACCTGCAGGTAATTATATTGTCGTTCTAACGACCCCAGTGTTCTATATTGATCAACACCAATTACTCGCCTCAGTGAAGTGTGCTGAAAATCTCATTAAAAAGGTCATGACACGCTTAACAGCTGCATTCCACAAATCTGCCACTGAACCGCAGTTCGTTTGCGCTTACCAGCACGTTTTCGTCACTACGGAGGCGCTCTTGACAGCCTTCAAGATGCTAACATTGTGGGCCACCAAAGTGTTGACGATGACGGCGGCATTGGACATGGCATTGCCGATGAACGTGCCCAGATCTGTGGCACAGGTCTTGAACTTGCTGCTGGGTGAACTCATCGCCTTCAGGCATTCGTAGGCCTGATGGGACATAGACTTCACCGTCGGCAGTTTGCAAATCTCCGTCAAACTCAGCGTGACGTCCATGAACTCATGCAGATCATCCATATCGCTCCACTGGCAGCGATCGCCGAATTCGTTGATGCATTTGCCGATGGAGGGAGCCAACCTAAATGCAGTATTAAACTCAATAAGTACTCGTAAATAAACTCACATTTAATAACAACAGAATATCATTATTTATTCAAGTTACAACGATGACCTTTAGGCAATCAGCATTTTTTGCAAGCCCACCCTAATTCTAATAAGATCGTATAATAATTCTAATAGTATAGTAATGTTCAATATGAAACAAAATAATGTTATATTTTGACAGAGTATCCAAGAAATAATAATTTGACCGAGCAGTACGTACTCAATAACCTGCTTAATTTTACATTTTTACCGAAAACAGCCGCGCCGAGAAAATGCTTTTTGTTAGTCATAGCACCTAATAATCGGTCACGTGACCTCTCGATTTGCTTTCCAAAACTGATTCTGGTCGTGCGACACCACTTCTTAATTATCTGTATTCATATTGCTACAAAACAGACATACAGGCATAATCCATCAACTAATCGCGTATCATTAATATCCAGTCCATTCATGAGCTTGGAGAGATCACCCCTTCGTCGGATTTCATGAAGGCCAGAGCGGGTTCCAAGCATGTGGTCAGGGTGCTTTCGTCGCACTGAGTGGGTGCGCTCCATACAGTGCATACACACGCACCACTCCAACACAATAACGCAACACTAATTAACAATTTCTCCATTCTCCTAAACTCCTTTTGGGTTTGCTGAAAATCTTAGGAATTGATAAGAAAAATGTGTTAATAAATCAATAAGCAGGAAAATGAACAGTATGATTCGAACTTCAAGGCCCAACTGTGTACTCTATTCAGTGAACTGGCATGTCTCGTCGTCGCAGTCGGACAGAGGAATTTCAAATTCCCCAGCAACATCGTATGCACGCCGGCACCCGTCCAAAATCGAATCCCCTCTTTTTTGGCACAATTTGCAATCGAGTTGCTGTTGACACGAAAGCAGCGCACTGGCGCAACTTTAAAATATTGACACTCGTAACTGATAAGGATGTTTATGTTTATTACTCTCAGTCCCAGCAGCACGTTTTTTACTCTTATGCCAGGTCATGTGCGCATTTTGATGGCCAGAACGTGAGCAAAACTGGCAAAATCGTTCAGTCGTTGAGTCGGAAAAAAGGTTCAATAAGGACAAGGCGTAGTACTTGGGTAAGAAATCATAAAATTATAATTAATGGAACTCAGATTCCAGAAGTGGTCATGCGTGACAATTGCGTGTGATATATGTATTAGAAAAATACCAATCACGCTTTATTCGGTTCTATGCAACACCGGAATCTTGTTCCATTTGTTGAGCGTACAGCGGAAATGATTCTAAAAATTAACCGGTTAATTTTTAGAATCATTTCCGCTGTACATTTTTTCCACAGCTCTATAGAAAATTGAAACGGTACCGTTTCAATTTTCTATAGAGCTGTGGAAAAAAGCTTCGGATAGATACTGTGCTACATAACTACAGGTTAAATTGTGAACATTCTCAATATTTCGAAGTTCTGCCGTCGAATGGTGCTAATCTATTCGCGATTGGGACTACAGTGCCACCACTTGCATAATGTCTTTCTTTGCAGGTTAATTATGCAGTTTTCAGTTAGGTAAGCAAAAGCTAACATCACGCCGTTCATGCGGGGTTTGTGAATTCTGAGTTAAGCAGTTGATAAAATTAATGTACTTATTAATGATCTTATCGTTAATTAGCATTGATTAATGTACTCGTATATATGCTATAAACCTCTGCATTGTTTAGGGGGTTTCGGATCTTAGAAGTACAGTGCTTCGATGTATTTTCTGCTACAGAGTACAGAGAGTTTTCCGGTCACATGCTGATATGCAGACATTTCCGGAGATATCGTTCTGGGCACAGTACTTACAGTATCGCCGTGTAAAGTGGGATCAGTAGCTAGCTTGAGTATTAATTTCAACCGCAATGAAGTCAAACCTCTTTGACTATTTGACAACTGTTTCTTTTTTCCAAAAGTAATATAAAGACAAACGCCCAGAAAACAATTACTTACTAAAACGACCATGTAAAATGAGAATATAAAAGATAATCAGAGCATTTTTGCTGTATATGTACACATGCAGCTAGGTACACGCTGCCGCTTTTTTCCGTGAACGACGTAAAACTTGTGCAACCATATAATTTACGAGGATTTCACGCTCGATTCCCGGTGGTTCACACTTCAATAAACCTACTCATCTCCACCCCCTCCATCGCCGAATCCTTCAGCTCCTCCACGGCGCCACGCGACACCGGCTCGTCCACCATATCCAGCGTGACCTTTGACCCGCCGAACGACGACAGCATCACCGAGGAATCGGAGCGACCGGCGCGGGAATAGCGCGTTCCCGGCAGGGCATAATGCTGCAGACACAACGGGGTGCCGCTCTCTTGCTCCACCGCCGCCTTCCACACACACAGCACCAGCGCGCCGCTCCCGCACAGACACGCGGTGGAGAACAGCCAGACCGCCTGCAGGGCGCTGTACATGGCGTAGACGTACGCTTCGTCGGCGGCGGACAGATCGGCTAATTTGCGGGCCAGGGCCACGCCGGATTTGGGGAAGGAGATGGTGTCGTACTCGAAGGCCAGCGCGGCGAAGAACACCAGGGAGTAGGCGACGCCGATGATGGTGCCGACAAAATGGATGGGCAGCAGGCGCCGGTTGGCCGATAAGGAGTGGGAGGGTGTGGCGGCGCACAGACCGGTGATGCCGATGATGGCGTGTAGGAGAGACAGGCTGAAGAAGCCAATGTGGAAGATGGCAAAGCGCCAGCTGAACAGGTGAACTGCCACTACCAAGAATTAAGAGATCATGTCAATTATACAGATTCAACGCTTCGCAAAATTAACATGTGCAAATGTACTTCTATATATCGCTGCAGTACGTAATGAGGCTAATTAATAATATTATTTAGTTTTAATTTTTAGATGGAGAAGTAGTCGTAATGATGCCACTGTAATCCACCGTCTGAAAGGCCGCACCGGCACGTGTGACGTAGTCCGTCCATGATATAATGGACGGATTACGTCTTTGTATATATTCAAAGAGTGTTCCTCCAGATAAAATTGGTTCAAACGATGGTACTTAAAGTCACAAACGATAATGCTATCCGAGTATATGCGAGGAAGACAACGACTATTGATGTAATGCAAATAGTTCAAACGACATCATGAGAGCATAGTTAATCAAATGGCAACGGAAATCAATAAATCTTTACACATGTAATTTGTTGCAGCTCTGTATATTATGGAAGGCACTGCAGTACTGCTATTTTTTAATTTTTGGGAGAATACAAGCCATATACCTCCCTTATAAAAAAAGATATGTAAAAAGAAAAAATGTTAAAGTGCATATAAAAAAAATTATGTAAAAAGTGCATATAAAAAACGAAATTATCGATCATACGGAATATTATCGTCGCTAGAAATTAGAACAGTAGAAGTAAATCATGTTCGGATAAATAAACATTAATTCTAGTGCTTAGGATTAAAAATAAATATGTCGGCTTTGCCGATCATTGGTACTCACATGGTATGTTCAATGCTCCGATACAGCAGCCGGAAACCGTCTCAAATACCGCCAACACGCGTAAAAGCTTAATTTTCCAGTCCATCACTCGGTATAATCATAAAATTCAATCTGCTCCCGCTCGTAATCGCCTCCTCAACAAACGCGATCCCCCAATGCAAACGGCGGCAGTGGTGGGTGTTAATGTGCGCGGTCACATCTGGTTGCCACCGCCATTGACACAGCCGACGTATTATTTCACTGAGCGTCTGACAGGAAGTCTTACCAGCGCGGCCACTGCTGCCATCCAAGGAGAATAGACCCATTAATAATCCTCCCCTTTAAATGAACACTCCGATCTACGCAGACGGGTCTACACGCGCAGTGGAGAAATGCCGGGTCGTGTAGGCGGTGGCGGCGGATGCGTGTATGTGTTACTGCGGAAGCCGGTGCAATGCCTCTTAATCCTGTACATCCAGGTGTTCGGGAGGCGCAGTACTTCCGGTTGGATTGTGTACTCGTGTTGCAGCCCGAGATTGTGTGTTCTCTTGTCAAGAGGCTATTCACGCCGCGATCAAGTTCGCGCGCTACTAGATGTTGCAGTTAATCACAAGGTATCGTGACCGCGAAGCGTATTGTTGTTACCATTACCCAGACAGTCATGCACGGGTTGCGCCTTGAGCGCGATTTAATACAAATGAGGTTATCATTCTAGCCAAAATACCGTATACATTAGTTTGTACATATAGATTTTCCGACGCTTCTGAAGTTCGCGCGGTAGGCTGTACAGCAAATTATACAGAATACTATTATACAGAATAATCTTTGTAGAGTAAGGAATTTCTCAGACAGCACGCATTTTAGTATTGGAAAAGCTTATGTTAATTTCCATATAAATTGTTTGGAGTGAAACCGACTAATTTGGTGAATATTCCTTGTACATTACTGAAATCCCACTATACAGCTGTAATGTGTTCCAGAAAATAATGAAAGTGTACTTTGTATTAGACGTATCAGGAGACACGCGTGCGATACTTTCTAGTAATGCTTTTTTTATTCGTACACGTCTTTCTATAGAAGTACTATAGCTGTATATTCTCTGTCGCATTAGAGAATAACAGTAATATTTTTGATTAATCGCTCATCGGAGGAGTGATAAAAAACACGAGAAACGAAATACGGACGCTAATTGTTTTTTCAACGACTCTATAAGACCATGTGTTAAGAAAATCTTGCGCTCGCACATTATTGGAAATTAACACAGTGTGTTTGCACATACCACTCCTCCTTAGTGATATCGACTCGGATCCAGCACTCCAACCACCCTCCATAGTGTACTTCGTTCCATGTCAGTGTCAAAGTCTCCGAACAATACGACTGTTCACCGGCTTTCGAGTAATTGGAGGTCAGCTCGCCATGAATGTTTCGTTCTGGTCGCAAATAGATAACACTGTTGATGAAATGATATCTCGGTGTAGACAAGAAAACTCCTTTATATTTCCAAATAAAAAACGGATCGGAATCCGGCAGGCAAACAAACCGTACATCGCATGTAGCTGAAAATTTTCTGAACGGCTCTAGCACAACAGGCTTCAATGGGTTCATAAAAAGGTCACTGCTAGTCCGCGGCTGCGGGATCAAATGATACTCGCTTCTAAGGCATAGGTTGTCAGCCGTAGGCCGTTGGCAGCGCTGAAAGCATTCAAGGTTTCCAGCGTCCTGAAAGGTCGCATTGTTGATGCGTAGAGTGCTGTTGGAACCGTACACGGTGTAATTGTACCCGCTGTCAGCAGTATCAATAGTCCGACCTGCGTGTTTCCACACAATATCACCCAGAAAACGCGAGGGGTTTAAGTTTAAGTGATCTAACCCAAATGGAGCTTCTGGGCTGCATACAAAGGTGACCGAACTTCCAATCAACGGACGTTCCACTGGCAGGCGCTGCAATGGCTGGTGTGCTTTTGGCTTTTCGGGATATGGATCTGGCAGCGTGATCATATTGTTCATGTTAATCTTTTTCTCCGCCATTTCAATCGCTTTTAGAACTATAGCAGTACAAAGGTAAAAGGCAATAAATTATTGATGAATATTAGCTACATCAATACTAACAATAATGAATAAAAGTTGTTGCAATATTTTGAGCGAGCAATCCTTTTAACCAGCCTCAACACCAGGCAAAGCTTGTGACCTCCCCAATCGTCGCAACAATAAGTACATGCAAATGATTAGTTTGGCTCGCAACATGGGCAGGTCATAGTACTCTCATAGCTTATTTTTTAAATTATTTAATTATTCTAATGCCAGTAGAAAGAATAGCAAAGATTTCTACTTCCTAACTCTTGGCAGCTTATCTTTATTCCTTGCAAATTTAAGTAACTGCAAATAAACAACAACAAAAAATTTTTATGGCGTACAACAGCTACTGTTTTTTGCAATTTTATGGATCCAGACTTACTGGCGACATGTTCCGAGGACATTGCCACAGGTTGTGCCTTCACAGGAGTCTGAACCATTGTCCGCGGAGGAGGAAGCCAAACAGCAAGCACAGCAGAACTCAAAAAGCCAAAGTCCAAAGATCATTTTGATCCATCGCGGTGCACTGTTCTCCATTAAAGAATTTTGGCGGGGGCACTTTTGCTAGGATTTTTGATAAATATGCAACATGGTTGCATGAACTAAAATAACCTGAGTAACGAAAAGGGCTAACTGCAAAAGTCGCTATTTCGGTTCTTACAACGGATTTGGTAGGATGCCAGCAATGACTAATTGTTACAACTTGAGATGGCAGTAGTATCTTTACTATAAGTATATTTCGATTTTTTTGTTTTTCTCGAATCAATATACTGCCGAAGCCTTACAGGGAAAAAATTCGAATGGTCAAGTGGGTAACGTAACAAGGCAGCATGAGATAGCAACAATTGGTCGGTTACTTAGAATTAACAACATCACTAAAATCTGTTAGAAAACTTAAAACTTTAGAAAGCAGTGGCAAAAGACTTTTTCGTTTCTATACTTGGATAGCATGTAATGTATTTTGATTCTATCAATATCAAGAATGACAGTTTAAGATGAATACGAAGTTCTAATATACCGACTCCATGGTGACGATATTACGATTAAAACTAATCAAGTACTGTACTGTACTGAGTACAGTGTACTCAGTGTACTGTGATAAGCGCTCAATTGTTAGTACCGGGTGGCTGAACAAAATGGCCGTCTTCGTTTTCGGCTTATTTCTCGCGAACCGTTAACCACATCGCTAACAGTTTAAGCTCGTTCGATAGAGAATTTTATTGACTATTGAAAACACTAAAAGTTGTTTTGAAAAATTGAGACACGGTCGTTGACAAGGGGGCCAACCAAAATCGTGTAAAAATTTATCGTGTCCCAGCTCGCAGAATTCAGAATCTTGCAACATTTCCTTCTCGTGAAAGCTTTTTACATTTTTCCAACTGTTTTATCTAGAGAATGGCATCGTTTTTCATTCAAAAAAAAATTGTAGACATAGTCCTTGCGCCAAATGAGCTATTCGGTTAGAACGTTTCGGTACTTTTCGAAAAATTTGCAAGTTTGTTGCCTGACTTTTTTATATATTTTCGCTATAATTTTTTGTTGCGCGACCTGGCGCATCCAAAAACGTCGGTTTAGTTGATAAAGGTAGCCAAGACATTGGTCTTGCAAAAACGGGTTTAATCTAGAAAATTACTCCACGTGTTCACAAGGAATTTGTTTTCAAAACCGCTACATGCCCAATTCACGAGAATTTCTTGTGCGTGGCCTGAGCTCTCTCGTTTCCTGGCCGAACACGGTCACAAGAATGTCATAGCTCTTAGCAGTAAAAAACCAAGGAACAACCTGTCTTCAAAAACTTCTAATCTGACACACAGTAATGTACTTCTATACATAACAGGAATTTTGTTCTTAAATAGGGAAACTCAATTTTCGTTTCGGGACATCCTCAAACTCCACCTAGTTTTCCAAAACAATTTACTATAAAATCAGACCTTGACGTAAGGTTGATTTATCATAAATTTTGTACGTCCTAAAGATTGCTCTTTCGAATAAAATTAACACACTGGCAATCAGACAATAGACTGAGCCGGGGCACCTTGGTAAATTAGACGGCCATTTTGTTCGGCCACCCGGTAATTCACATTTCACATGCTTACTTGCCTTTGAAAAAAGGGTACAACTTATTCTAAATTCTAAGGGTGCGATTATTGTTGCCAAAATTTTAGCATTTCTGTGGTGCTCATTCTTATAATCGTAGCAAATACAGTAAACGAAATCCTTGATCCAACTACCGTATTGTAACGAGAGTAATCGAACGACCGCCTTGTTTACAGTGTTGTTGGTTTTCTTTACTGTTCATTGGTTGTTGTTCTCACCGTGTAACTGAGTGATTCATCCTTCTTTTTCTCTACACTTTTACCGGGTAAATGTCAAAGAGAATGAAACAGACTTTTCATTAGAGAAAGACTTGAATGGATGCTTGCCCCGCTTGTTTTAGTTTGTAACCCGCTTGTCCTGCTTGTACGCTTGTTGTTTAAATGCCTGAAAACGACATTGCTTTATTTGACTCCTCGGGATGATGCACCCATCATCCCGCTCGTCTTTGTCACTGTAAACCCACTTCCGATTCACTGCTGAGCTCACGCCCGGCAGTGCCGACATTTCCATCAACAGCCGACACAACATCGTGGTACGGTCAACACGCCAACCCGCTAGAACGCCGGCATAACCGCCCGCGTTACAGTATTACGTTGTACCATCGGTCATCGGTTTACGGGATGCAGGTTATTTTGTCATTACTCCTACACGTCCCGCGAGAAAGGTGGGCTCGGAATTTACTTCCTTTGGGCAGATATGCCGAACATGGCCGGAAACGGCCCCAAGCCATCGTATAGAGGAACCAGAACAGAAAAATTTTTACTCAGCAAGTGACACAAGTTAGCGTTGAACATCTCCCAATTTATACCATTTCACATACACTGATACACATACAGCTTAGGACAAAAATAATGGTCGCATACCCAACATCTCCACATTCAGTACGTATGCAGCGCAGTGCACTGTACGACTGAATTCAAAATATCGGGTTCGTACAAGTGCACTGCACCGCATGCGTACAGAATGCTGGGTATGGGGCTATGCGAACATTTAGTCCTACATTGTAACTACAGTACAACAGAGAGACCACTAAAATGGGGGCGGGTCGTGTGTCGTAATACCCGGATTCCTTATTCCTCGGAATCCACTCCATTTCACCAACGAAACATTGACTAACACGGAATGTAGAACTGAGTCTGAGTAAAGAAAAGTTCGCTCAAATATCACTTCTAGCATGATATCTGTCTAGTGACTCTGTGAAACTGCGCTGGGCATGCCGCATGAGGGAGTCGCCCAACGGCAACCAGCTGGTTGTCCAACGATGCACAAATTGCCCTGGCAGTGTCTGTTATCAGTGAAAGGTTTCACATCCCGGTTTCCAGGTGGCACCGATAACATTCGGCAGAACAGACAGTCCTGTTGCTGTGGAAATAATCAAAGGAATTGCCATATCCGCTGATCACTAACCAGTAGTACGTGTACTCGTAGTCTACTATGCGCTCAGATCATGTAGCAACGGTCAAGCGGTGTCCCAGTTGGCAAAGAAGTCTTCTTGTTCTTCCATGGCAATGTCATGGATAAACAAGGCAGTGTCATACGGATAGGTAAATCCCATAATATTATTATAATGAGCATATCAAGCCAAGCATCGCTGTAGTCCGAAGTTACAATTCCTGGTCGTGGTTGAATCCGGGAAGCGGGGCATCTTGACAATCGGGGCATCTTGGCAATCATGCAGCCAGATACGGATGGCATTGCGGCATCTGTACCTGGCTGACCACTGCAATCAGTTCGGGCAGTTCTTGAATCAACTCCCGATATGCTTGCCGTTGAAATCGCTCAGTAGAGTCCGTATGGACTCTATTCGGAATTATAGCTGCATATTTCATCGGGCGTAGTCCGCGTACTACGCCGCC